GTTTGTTATGAATTTTCCGAAAGTTGAACGTTTTCAAGCTGCAGAGTTTTTTTGAAAACTGCAGCCTGGTGTCTCCAAGCCTGAATGTCTGCTCGATTCTGCATGACGTCTGAATCTATCTCACTTCATCTTTGGATCAATTAAATTAGCTGACCAGAAACATTTGTATCTTGATACTCCGCCTCTTAGAGATGTTTTCTTCGTACAGCAGATGATCTTTTCATGAATGATGTCATACAGTCTTTTGATGTTTTGGTTTGGAACTGGGATCTAATTCCTTGTCTACAAGAGATTCAAAGTCTTTCCACCTAGCCTTTAGTTTCCGAGGAAATTCTAGACACTGGTTTACTATTTTGGGAAGTCTGAAATGCGAATTCTACGACAACTTGGCAATGTCCCGAGCATGGATCTTTAAGAATCCGTTGCTCATAAATGGCCTTCAGGTCAGGAGTGACCAGCAATAAATCTGGGTTAGTACTACTGTAATGTATGTACATCTTGCAAAAAAAAAAAAAAAAAAAAAAAAAGAGGTGGGGACAATTCTCAGGGCTATTCCTAGGGGGGATGCAGCGCAAAAAAGTACGTGGGCAGTCGGATTCTCGCGATACCACGATTAAATAGTTTAAATTCAGTAAATTCATCGTAAGTACTTGTCATATGTAAGTAATTTTTGTACAATTTGTCATATGTAAGTTCTAAGTGAGTATGAAATAAACATTTTACTAACCATTGGCAAATATTTGTTTTTAAATTTGGGCGAGGCAATCTTAGGAAAGTACGCGGGCAGCTAAGGGCCTACGAACGGCCCTGTCAGTTTTAGTGTAGTTGGTAAATTTCCAGGGCGACCTTTTTTTTTTCTTCTACTGTTGCATATCTTTCAATTAGTCGGTCGATAATATTTAACCAAAATCGTAAATTTGTATGTTTACTGCTATGCTTCTTGTACAACACATAAGCATTCCATAAACTGATGTCTAGAAGATGAAAAAATATTTTTATAGCATTTCTTCCCCTCTTTTCTATCACAGTATAAGTATTTAGGTTCTGGTCCATTCAATCTACACCACCCATTGTGTTGTACTCCATAACTACCCTCGGTTTTCATTTTATATCATTCTTGTACATGGGTACTTGGGCCATTTCTGGATTAGGTACTGTAAATATAAGAGACATGGCTTTTTGTCCATTTATTTCATAATGCATACTTTTCCTCCCTGGTAAGTGGCCATTTACACTTTTTAAAGATTTTCATTCAACTGTGCTTTAGGAACTTCCTTTCTCTGAAGTTTTAATGTTCCATACATATCTGTGCAGCAACTAATCAGGACATCTGCTATTTCAGGCGATGAATAAAAGTTATCTGTTGTCAGACAGTATCCTTTATGTAAAAGTGGTTGCATTAGTGTCATTAAAACCTGCGACGATTTGCTCAAATGTTTGTAACTGTCATCAAATACAGTTCCTTTTCCTGTGTAAATTAACATAGACCATACATATCCAGTCTTTGAATCACAAAGCATGTACGTTTTTATTCCAAATGGCGATTGTTTTAGTGGGATATATTGTTTCCAACTTACTCTTCATTTGCATAACATAAGACTCGTCTAGGGTGACATCTCTCGTTCAGGGGTAATGACTTCTTGGAACCTAGTTTTCAAATGCTTTAGCACAGAACAAACTTTAACTAATTTTCGGTATTCATGAGAATTTTTCATTATCTGAAAAATGTAAATAACTATGAATTAACTGGAAATGACATTACTTTGGGAAAAACGGTATAGATGCAGAATGCCTTCTGCTCCAATACTCCTCAACTACTGGCTTTTTTATAACCCTTTGAAGAATAATCAAAGCAAAAAATACCTATATTTAATCTTTCGATGTCGGTTCCCATTTTTTTCTTCTAGAATGTATACTAAATACGCTATTTTGTATGCACTGCTCAGCATATCTAGTTTCCAAAACAATCAAGTCTAGCAAATAATCATCAATGAAAGTTTCGTAAAACTGAAGTTTACCATTAGCTATATCAATATTTAAGTTCAATTTTGGATTTCCAATGACAGAAAATCTAGGAGGTGGATCGGGTGGATTATTACGATTAATTTAAAAAAATTGCCTTGCTTGGCTAAGAACATCTGTACTACTCTAGTGTCGCAGCCATCTAGAAAACTTCCACTACTTCCAGATTCATTTGCAGATATTTCAGATTCTGCTTCCGAATACAAGAAATTAGCTCCATCCATTCTGAATCATCCTTTATTTTATAATAAAGATAGTTTACACTACTTGTATATAAATGAAGTTATCAAATAATGTGTAAAATGTGTAAACACTCAAAGACAAAAACTCGCAGTGTAATGCAAAACTTATGAAAAAGCCAGTGTTTTTAGACCAAACAGAATAAACTTCGCAAACTAACATTTTGTGGACAACTACCATCATCTATATGACTAATTTGACATTAAAAATAGAAAAAATAAGGCCCATTTAAAGTCACCATTCATCTAAAAGCCTTAATACCAGTAGGTACTGCAATAATTATTGTGGCTGCCAAAACAGTGAAAGTGACAAAGGTATCAGATTGCTTGCACGCCATACAGGCAAATCATTACAGGCACGAAAACCATGCCCGTACACTGTACGGGCAAAACAGGTAAGGGTAACATGTATGTTGCATTTTCCTGTCATAAACATTCACTTTTAAACATTATTTCAAACATACCATAATTTTTTATCTTCCGCCAACTTATGTATGTAAGGGAAGCAGTGTTTTTTGTCCAGAAATTTGATAGAGAATTTTCAGTAAATAAGTATGAATTAAGGTCTCCACAGCATGTTTTTATTATTTTTACAATGATCTTTGTTTGTGTGTATGATATTTTTTCATCCACGGTAACTCTTATATGAAGTTCGCAAAATTTCTATTTGCCACATATAAAATTTCTACATTCATATGAAGAGTTAACACAGAATTTAGGTAAAACTGGACAACCAGATGTGGTATATTACAGAAAGCCCATTTTAATCTTTAGTATAGAGAACAACCAGATGTGGTATCTTAGAGGAAGCCCATGACAATCTTTAGCGTACAAAAAGATATGGTACTTGAAAAAGAAATCTATGACAACTCATAACATTCCATCTGAAATTCTACAGATATGCTGCTTTTAAAAATTTTGTAATTGTTAAGCTATTAATTTGTGAATCTAAAACATTGTATGATCACAGGATATAACTATGAGAGATGTGATATTTTTCAACCAAAGCATGAGAACATATATGTACACTACACAAAAAAAAAGGGGGGAACAGTTCTATTCTATATCTCCCGTTCTACTGGGCGATTCTACGAAACTCGCATTTTTTATGTCTTCAAAGCGCAACTTAGGATATGTATTAGTTTTATATACAGCATTGTTCTAATATGGGTATTTTGACACAAAATCGGACCTTTTCTGAAATGACATGCAAATTCTTTTCCATATTTTGATTCTATGACTCAAATTATGCCAAACTGCCACGTTTTGTAGAAATCACACGAGAAAGTTTTTAACAAATCAGCTCTCAAAATTTTAGCTTCTCCATGTTAATTGAATTTGGTATTATTTATTAATATCTCTTTTTTGATTAACCTTATTTGTTTCCTCCTTTCACATTTCAAAATTTAGATTCATTTCAAATAAAATTCCCCCATTTTTTATGACTTACTTTTAAAGTTTGTATTTTTAAATCATTTTTATAAATTTTTTGAAAAAAAATTGAATTATAACCTGCAAAATTTTTAACATCATCTTAAAGTAGATGTATTTCTAGGGACACCTGCAAAAAAATTACTATTTTTTATTCAAAATTTCCTAAAATATAAGTGAATTTACATATTTGTGCGTTTTGAAATTTAGCATATTTGTTATAAGCAATAATAATGCCAAATATGGTTTATGCACTTTGTTAAAATTGGCTGAAAGTATGAACAATGACCTTTTTTTCGCTTGTGTGCAATGGAAAAAATTAAAGGAAAATAGATTGCTATAAATTCACCAAGTAAATTATTCTTAGCCGCAAAGCTGGGGGGGGGGGGGAAATGCCAAGATAAATTTTTGAATTTTTCTGTAAATGTCCCACCAAATTTTACAAAACTTAATATTTAACCCTTATATAATATATACCAGTATTTGTCAATATTTTAACCTAGAAAAAATGATTATTTTCAAAGGACATAATTTGAGTCATAGAATCGAAACATGGAAAAACATTGTCATGTCATTTCAGAAAGAGTCCAATTTTGTATTAATATACCTATATTTGAACAATGCTATATTTAAATCTAATATATATCCTAAGTCGCGATTTCGAGATATGAAAAACACAATTTGAATTTTGTCAATCGGCCTAGTAGAACAAGAGATATAGAACTGTCCCATTTTCTGCAGCATACATTAGCATGTGTAATTATCATTGTATGGAAGAACTGAAAAATAAAAAATGAATGGATTTTATAATTAACATTGAATAAACAAATTACACTTACAATCAACAATTCCATGTCTTAATAGTATTAGTGGGAGGTCATGTGCTGGTGTCAGACTTTTGTTTTTTATAATGAAATAATTCAGCTTACATCTTTGTGATATGTTTAATTAAATCACATCCATTTTATCAAACGTAGTATAGTTTGTTGAGGAATAAATAATCGAAATTTAGCTTCTCAATCGAATCTTTATTTGTCTCAATTGAAGTTTAAAAACCAATTCCAGAAATTTAAAAAAAACTTGAAAATCCCTCTCTGAATACTCTTTTGAATTTTGGGAATTTTAATCTGAACCTTTTTCAGAATGTAGAATGCACTGATGTGCTGTGCTTTATTTTCCAAACATTAAATATTAGATAAATTTGCTTATTTTTATAAAAGAAAACTGTTAAATCACTTCCAATTTTTATAAAAAACATGTACACACCATGACAATGATATGATTTTTTGGTAAAGAAAACTAATAATATAGAAAATATGAATTTGCAATTTAATAAAAATTAATAACAATTATTAACAAAATATTTATCAAAATACAGCAATTAACTTAGAAATACAAAATACACAGAATTTGCAACAAGCTTAAAATAATTTTTAGAGCAGCAATTGTATAACATTAAAATACTAGTTGCAATGAGACTCACAACTGCCATATAGCCAGCATATCAAGAATATATTATGGAATAATTTAATGCATTTCTATAATAAAATATAAAGATAGCTTGTGCTCTTATGTAAATTGTTCCCATTTTCTTTTTATAAATAATAAATTTACCAGTTTAATTTTTTAAATAATTTTTCTTTAAATAATTACATGACTAAAATTGCAACAAGATATTAAAATACTGTAGATAATATTGTATTATAAGAAAAGAAATTAGTTCCAAAAAAGTCTTATTTGCAGAGAAAATAACTTGCATAAGGAAGATATACTAAATAATATTAAAAAAACAAAAATCAAATTTAAAACTTTTAACATTATAGTTAAAGATGAATTTTTATGTAACATTTAATTAATTTCAAGATCTTTTTTTTTTTTTTTTCTTTTTTTTTACAGTTTCAATATAAAGAATACTTAAAAAATAATTTAATAATTCTTAGACATGATAACTGAGGTATAAACGATATATAATAGAGGCCAATATAGCAACCACAATAGGAATCAGCCAGTTTTTCCATGAACTGAAATAAAATAAAAACAATAAAAAAATTATATAACAGAATGTCTGCTCTAAAAGCATTTATCACAGTTATAGAATTTGATAGCATGCAAAAGACTCTAAAATTAAAGCGAATATTTAATGCAATTGCACTTCCAATTGAAAAATACTACCAAATACTCTCATGGGGAAAGAACAATGAATGTCTATAAGTTCAAAAATTTCCCACAATTCTGATCAGAAATTGTTTTTATTATTGATAAAACTGTTCGAAGGAGGACTGGAAATATTTTATATAAGTAAGAGAAAATGGATAAAAATGTAACAGAAGGAATAGACACTAAAACTTTTTAGTCATTTACCTGTTTTTAAAAGGTTTTGTTTCTTCTACTGTTACGTTGTTTATTTATAAGATTATTTTATTCCCATCCTAAGTTATATCTGCTAATCTGGGCATTTGCTTCATCACAAAATACTATACATTCTTCAAACTATCATGCCAATATTACTAATATTCCATGATTTGCAAAAAATTAAAAAAGTTCTTAAAGACATAATTTCATGATATTACATTTTTTTAAAGCAAAACTACCTTCAAATTCAGTGATAATTATAAATGAACAAAATATATTATTTTGTATTGGATAACAGTATAGATTTAAGTGAAAGCCACTGCCATCCAAAATTATTTTCTAATTTAATAATATTTTGGAAGCAATGAAACAAAGGTAACAGTCTATATTTTTTTCTTCACAGTATTACTTATTACCCAAATAATTCCCTTTTGAAGAGAGGCAAAAACTTAATTTGTTTTCACATTTTCTTTCCTACTTTAATACCAGAATCTTTAAATTTTTATTACCAGAAAATGGATAATGGATTTTAAATATAACAATTACACTGCTTTAAAATTGACAATTACACAAAATTGTTAATTAAGGAAAAAAATCCTCGAAATTTCAAAATTTCATGCTTTTATATTTGTTATTCCAACAACTATGAGATCTTTATATGTGGCATAGCAAATAGCTAATTCTTAACTACTAGTCAGCATGATATAGGATCTTTAATTAGCTTTCAAACCATATCAATACTTGCCTTAACAAACTGAGCAATTTAAAAACAAACCTAGCTAATAATTTATAGCTTTATTTTATTTTTATAACAATATATCTAACTGATATAATTTATAATATAACCGAATAATAATTATTTTATACACTTGAACCACTATCACAATTGATACAAAATCACATATCAATAATAATAATGCTCGATCATATCATTTCATGATAATTTTTTTATGTTTAATTAAAACTACATCAAGAAAGGCCTGGTCTACACAAATAAGAAATGATGTAAATAATTTTCTTTTATTAATTTCACATTTATAATGTGACACTTATTAGAGAAATTTCTCTTGCATTTTTTGAAAAGTTTTGTAAAAAATGGTTTTGTTATATTTGTTCTACTAATAGTATAAATCTATTAAGGCCACCAAACTGAATATTTATTTGATTAAAATCATTTAATACCTTTACTTAAGGAAAAAACTTTTAAAAACAATTAAGTAAGAACTAGATTAAACAGATACAATTATTGTGCATGAATGCCATGTATTACACAAGTTTATTAATTCCTAATTTAAAAATTATTTTGTAAAATATAGTTCCAAATTTCTTTCTTTCTTTTTTTTTTTCAAGCTGAATTTTAAATTTACAAGAAATTATGTTATGAAAATTGTTATTAATACAGGTTACTGCAAACAACAATCTGATAAATTACTTACCTAAGGGATTCTTTTAAAAGAGTATACTCTTTTAAAAAGTAACATTACATAGCATAAAATGGGTTTGAAACAAATATTTTGTTTAAAATAATAATACTTCCATTCTGCCCTGCAGTTAAGTCTGTTTTTAGTCATTATCTAATGCTGGAAAACTAACATTGTTGGAATCACTTTCTTGATCTGCCGTTGCTTTTCTTACACTGTCAGTATCAGACATGTTTCTGATCTACTAAATTATATATCAAACTCTCCATCACCGAGGGAAAGAGCCAGAATACAATGTAACACAGCACCAGCATATGGCTATTAGAATTACAAACTTTGACCTCTTTAGAACATTTCAAGTAGTTGCAAAGCTGATCAAAGTAAACTTCTTGTGCCATCTTGTGGCCACATTGTAACTGTCTCAATACAACAAATTTATTCCAGGTTTAAATTAATAAACAGGATATTGCCAAGATACAAGAGTGTTCTCGGGCATATAAGTTAATAATGGGGGTATGTAAAACAAAGGCAATAATTTGAAATATAGCATTTCTTTTGAACAACTTTAAACCCTCACTACTGCTTATTACATAAAATCCATAATTTCCAACACAGCAGTTTGTAGAACACTGAAAGATACTGTAATAATTACTTTTAGAAATCAGACATTAGGTTTTTGTTATAATATTCAATGAAATATATTAGCTGTTACATTTTGGCTATTTGGCATATATTTATTTGCATTTTTAACTGCTATGTTAAAGATTTCATTGCAACAGCAGTGTTCCCATGTATGAAGATTTGAAAGACAATATAAATATGTAGCAGCCAAAGTACGAGGGCCATCCAGAGAGTAGATTACGTTTCCGTCTGTGTCCGCTAGGGGCGGGGCTAGGCGCGGCCATCTTGGGGTCAGAGCGTTGCGCAGCTCAGTCTGCATCTAGCCGTGCTAGTGAGAGGTTCGTGCTGTGCTCCGTTCAGATACTGTGACGGTTTGAAATGTCTGCGTTAATTGAAAATCCCACGAGCTGCGAGGTGCGCTCAGTAATACGGTTTCTGACTGCAAAAAACTGTAAACCGATAGAAATCTATCGGCAGCTTCGTGAAGTGTATGGGGACAACATTATCACTGAAGGTGGAGTGCGTCAGTGGGTCATAAGATTTCAAAATGGCCAAACCAATGTTCACGACGAAGATCGAAGTGGGAGACCCAGCATAGTGACCACCGAACTTCTCGAAAAAGTCGATGCTAAAGTCCGTGAAAATCGAAATTTCACAATAACGGAACTTTCTTTGAGTTTTCCACAAATTTCGCGAAGTTTGTTGCACGAAATCATCAGCAAAAAGCTTGGTTACCACAAGTTTTGTGCAAGATGGAAGGCAAGAAGAGGTAACGAAGTGGTTGAAGGCGCAGGCGGCCGAATTTTTCGACGAAGGAATTTCCAAGCTCGTACATCGCTACGATAAATGCCTTAATTTGTATGGTGACTATGTAGAAAAGTAGTATTTTAGCCAGTGTGGCTTTCATCTGTATATAATAAAATTTGTTTCCTATACTTTATTTTTTTATTCCAAAACGTAATCTACTTTCTGGATAGCCCTCGTATGTGTTAGATTTCTGAGTTTCAAAACCTCAGTTTTCATAGACATCAAAATTTACAAATAAACCATGACAGGCTCAAAGGACAAGAATGCAGATTAGTTTTAAAAGATACATTATTTGTTTTAATATTACTACACTTTACTTCCTGTTTTTTAATAAATGAAAAGTTGCACAAGGACAAGAAGGCAAAATATCAATGGATATTTTATCACACATTCATATTTAATAATAATAATAATACAAAGAAGAATTAGACACTAGCTGAATAATGATAATAATAAAAATAATTAGACACTAGCTGAATATAATAATTACAATAATAATAATAACAATTAGACAATAACTGTCAACCTTGAAACATGAAAAACCGGGATGTTCAGCAACCAAAAACCAAGAGTTTTGGGGAGGTTTTCGGGCCACGCCATTTTTAATGAACTCAAAATTGATTTAAATTTCTGTATAATGGCATGATCCAGTTTATTCAACTATTTACATTATGATCTGATTTCAAATAATAACATATTCTGACTGTTACGGCTAATTTCATTTTGTGATTTTCTTACACTTCTTGTACTAAGAAAATTCTGAGTATGGTAAGAAAGCTTCAGTTTATATATATAAGCTTATTATTAGTACATTTAAATAAGATAAAAATAAAATTAATAATTAGCACATTTCACTACCAGTCAGGGTGTCGAAGTTCAAATCTCAGTGAGAGCATTGCATATATTTTATATCTCCTGCGCCTAAAAAAATTACAGACAGTGACACAAACTAAAATGTGGGAGATGTTAATTCATCACCACTAGGATCTGGCAACTAGATCCAGCCCCCTATGCCTTCATGGTGTAATTAGAAGCACATCCAACTATCAATAGGACTGTACAAAGTTCAAATTCCACTGAATGCACTAGATATTTTTCCTGTTATGAAACCGACAGACTGACTCTACATATTCATATAAAGTTCTACAAGTATCTACAACAGATTAAGACAATTCAGATTGAATAAAATTTTATGCTGAAGATCACTAGGGATGTGAGAATGAAATTTACAAAATTTAAACTTCATAAATTCAATAGTGAAACAAAAAATGTGCAAATTTTATTGATGAAAAATAATTATTAATATTTAATTTTATTACTGAAAATGCTAAAAAACCAGGAGATCTGATTATTTACCAGAAGAGTTAGCAGCTATGTATAATAATAAAAGCACCACCTTACATTTAAAAAAGAATTTAAAAACTGATAAGAATTAACAACATAGTTTCAAACGATTTTTTATGCGTACAGATAAGACGTATACTCATTATATATATTACATACCTTTTATTTTAATCTCAGATATTTTTTGCCAACTTATTATACATAAAGAATGCAGATAAAGAAAAAAATACATTTAAATGAATCACTTCAATAAATGAAATCAGCACCAAGAAATTCCACATATCAATTATTTTAACAGCAATTTTTACGATCAAGTTTTATACTTAACTAAATTTTCTTAAAAATAAAATTTCTGAAATGTTATATGGCTTATAATCAAAAGTAAAATGCGCACAGAATAAAACAGACAAAATGTTATAAAAAGGAATATGACAAATTCTGGTCTGAAATAATCACACTACTCATTAATAGTATATCTTTGATATTATTCTTAGTTGCTATTAACTTACTAATTATTATGTTCATTATTAATTAATTGATTATATCTACAATAATACTTGAATTAATGCTTGACAGAAGGGCTTGATTAAAAAGTTATACAGATATTGAAGAATATATATTTTAACAAAGATGGAAAAGTTATTTAGTTAAGAAGAAATTCTACATTATAAAAAAAGCTAGTGAATAGTTAGTTGTTAAATTTTATGAAGTCACTGGCAATTAAATTATTCCCTTTTATGCAGCCCATTTATTTTAATGCCATTCTGCATGGATATGCATAAAAATCACATTCTTTATTACCTACTTTTCTTTTAGAAAAGTGTTTTTTTAGCCTTTAATCCTACCTAATCGAAATTCACAAGTATTATAAACAATGTTAGACCCTAACTTACATGCTTTTTGTTGATTCCACCTATTTGTGTAATTTCAGTATATCACTGTATTTATGTTACTTAAATGAAATTACATTTAAACTCAGTACAGTCAAAAGTCGTTAATCCGGACTCGTCGGGACTTCGGCGATTCCGGATTATAGATCATCAGTTTAAATCCGGTAAGATAGCATGCAGAAATTATAAAATTAAAAATATGAAACTGTAATTTATAAAGAACAATTATGATCTAAAGGGTATCAAAATTTACAAAAAAAAAAAAAAAAAAAAAAAAAAAAAAAAGAGCTTAATATTTATTGTTTACTTTATTAAACATTTCTTTCAATGTAAGTTGTTCAGTTGCTTTGTGTTTTTATGTGATAATACAGTTCTTTAATTATATAAACAGACATAATTTCTTCTTGCTTCCACTGCTCAAGTCCTATAATGCTATGTCGAGAATACCGACTAATTTGTCAATCGAATTTTTTCGTTTTCAATACCTCTTCACTTTCTTCGATATCGGAAGCGAATTATAATGACGAGGAATTTGATTTAAATCAAAGACGGAAATACTACATTAGTAAGGAATTAAGCCAAATAAAAAAACATCTGCCTGAAGATAGAATAGTGCTGACAGATCAACTTCCAATTCATTGCGACCGCCGCGTAAAGATAAACAAACATTAAAGTTAGATAAACAAAGGATATGCCTTTATCCATTTTTTGCAGCAATTCCACTTTTTGTTTCATGGACTTCGAAACATACTTTCGCTTTGTAATCCTTTCATATTAGTAAATATATATCAGAAATTCTATTTGACATAATCAAAAGTTCAAGCTTACTTTATAAATTGCTCTAACTGTCTTCAAAAAAATAATAGCCGAATCCAATTCGACATTAGGAAAACGCAATCTGCAACATTAACTGGAATTAGATAATTTAGTTAGGCTAATCGTCCGGTGTGACATTAAATGCACATTCGTAAATGTATTTTGCACATGCGTATTCGCAGCCGCAAAGGTCTTACGTCAACGCGACGCATGCGCAGAAAGTTTGTAGCTTTGAGGTCCGGATTATGGGTGTCCGAATTAACGACTTTTGACTGTACTAAGAATAAACTAATAATAAATAGCATGCGGCAGCGCAATTTATATAAAGAATCTTGGGGGGGGGGATGAGTAGATTAACAGGAAGTAAAAATGTTCTCTGTATTTGCAGCCATATTTGGAATTCATTAGAGTAGAATAAAGCCTATCTTCAAAGAAAACTTTCTGACCGCAGTAGATCATTCACAAAGCTCATTGAAGTAAAATACTTCATTTACCTAAATTTTCAACTAGTTTCTAATAGAATTCCAATTACATACCTCTCATCTGTTCCAGAAACAGGCCAATGGTTCTTTTCCTGTAACAAAGAAAACAAAATATTAAACAACTGAAAAATTTGAATAAAAAATAAATCATTAAGAAAAAAATATTATCAACATAAATTATCATAAATTTACCTGAATATCGGTTATTTTTTGGCGATCCTCCTGTAAAACAAAAGAGTACATTAAAATTTTCTAACACATAGGAGAATTGCATTGCCTTGTTAAAAAATTGCACAGTCTAATTAAAAAATTAGATGAACTGGAATCATTAGTGATAATTAAAAAATAATTGACATAAAAATAGATATAATTCTGAGTTCATTCTAAACAAATATAAAATATCTTCTGATTTATCGGTCAGTCCATAAACTTCATTAAGAGTATGCGTGGAATTCACTATGACGCATTTACTAAAACAATACAATTTTGAACTTGTTGAAACTTGTCATCGTTTGATTAACATATTGTTGCGTTATTTTCGGACGCCAGTTGTTACGTTATTTTCTTCCTTCACGTTTATACGGAGTTCGTGAGGATTTGGAGTGAATAATGATGACACCACATGATGGAATATTGAAACAAGCCTTATTTAGCAATATTAACATGTTGACGATGGCTTGGATATTTGCGGTCCGTTCTGTGTGGCGGCACTTCAACTAGCAGTCGTGGCACCAAATTATACTGTTTAATGCTTGTGTCCTAATACCCACTAGCTGATTCGAATAGACATAATTTCCAAAATTCTCTATATAGCACAAAACAAGAGTTGACTTAACTGGTCTTTAAGAGCATATATGCTGTGATGCTACAATACAAAAATTTAGAAAGCACAAATTTTTTGCTGTAATTAGAAATCATTACTCCCAAAAAAATTTGATAGAAGAAAGTAAGATACCATGCACATTTTAAAGTCACTAGCTAAAAGATTAGTTAAAAGTTACTTACCACAGCATTTTAAAGTCACTAATTAAAGATTGAAAAAAGGTTATTCAGATCGATCAAATCCCTGCTATTGATTCAAATTGATATCAGAGATTTTAATTTCAATTCCAAAGACAAAAATAGTCTTGTTGGTGATCTGAATAACCTTCAAGACATCATTTCACAATACTCTGAATTTTAGTACCTCCCCCAAAAAACAGAGGTTTTAGAGATTTTACAATGTAACTCATTCTGTAAAAAGTGCCTGTGTTACTGTTGCATATATTATGAATATAAGCCAGTCTTCTAGAATAACCAAGTATAGCCAATTTTCCAGAATAACTTCTGAATAGTTGCCATAAATAACTTAATGCTCTCAATCCTAAATTTTCTAAGGTTAACCATGTATTTCTAAGATGGATATTAAATATATTTCTTTATTAATGCTTATAAGTAATATCAGTAGCTGAGTTGTTTTAAAAACTTCAAATGGATATTTTTACATAATAATTTTATAGGTTATTTCTTATAAAAATAAGCATGATATTTTTTTTTTACCTTCAAAAAGGTTTCTCGCTGGAAAAGTTTTTAATTATTACAACCATATTTGCATTATTTCTCTAAAAAAATGCAATCTATTTTTTTTTTTATTTTCAAAATACGTTTAACATATGTTTATGACAAAAATTATAAGTATTAAATTCTATGCAAGAAAATATGAAAACTATTAAATACAAAAACAGTTTTAAATGTTACAGAGTTCAATGAAACAGCTTTGGATATTTAATTTCGCAAATCAGATAGATGTAAAAAAATCTTAACAAGTATTTCTAAACTCAGTGGTGTAACAGTCCTAGTGGGCCATGGTCTGCAGTGCCCCAACATCTGCTTTCCTGACCATAGGCCCTGGGATGCTTGAGCATATGACCTGGACAAGTGGTCATCTTGTCGTAGGAACACAGTGTTTAGTCCCCAAGCGAATTTGGTATTCATTTTAGCGACTCACTCAACAGATGAAAGGCTGAGTTTACCTTGCCCAGCTTGGGGATTGATCCTCAGACCTGTGGGGATGCTGCTGTGAAAATGTGCTAGCCACAGGAGCCACCGGATCTTAACAAGTATTTCATCTTAGGTAAAAATAAAACTCATATGCCATCAATGTCTTTAAGTGTGCTAGTGTGACAAATTTAAATTATTTATTTATGCCTTCTTCATAAAAAATAGGTAAAGGGGTTTTTATAGCAACACATGTAGATTTTCTGAATAAGAAAAGTACTTATGTAGACAATCAACATGAATTTGAAGTTTTTACATCCACAAAAACAAAGAAAAATACAGCAGAATTCTACACCTTTACGTAACACATAAAAAAGATAAATTCTCAATTAGAAGGCTTGTGATGCACTTTTGTAGAGGCATTTGTATGCAGCATCCCAACATTATGACAAACAAGAATAAAATTTTGCAGAATAAAGGTACTTTTCATTAAAAAATAGCAAATAAACCAAATACTGGATACAAGATGCTGACATACAATACATTTGTGTGTGAGAAATGATTTTATTGTATCACTGCAAACTGGCCTGTTTCATCAGGAAAAACCACAATATATATTATTAGTACAAATCAGGAAAAATAGTTATTACTGGTAGTATTATGTTTCTATTAATGAATCATAAGGTCTTATGTTTGGTAATCATGTTCATGAGATCTACTTGTTTTAGTTAATTAAATTACTTTTTTAGAGGATGGCACTTGTTCTAGTCATTTTGCCCCCCCCTATATCACATGTTTTAATTAAAAACCCTGTTTTAGCTGTGTCATGTAAAAAATAACTAATTAACTCAAAGCAGTAGATCAAATATATGATTAACCATATTTTTATTACATACTGCTCAGTGTTATTTTATTATATACTGTTAAGTGTTGTAACAAAGTAAAAAACAAAATTCAAGTTTCTTAGCATATTAATTACTTTCCACATAATTTGGTATCATTCCTAATCATTAATGTTTCAACCCATATCATTTTAACAAGATTAACGGATAAAAGTTAAGGGGAGGGGTTCTTTGGAACAATCCTATAGTAAAATTTTAAAAATAGATTAGCTTATATTCTTGAATGCTTTATATTATATAAAATATTTAATTATATATAATCTAAAGCAGACAGGAACATAAATACATAAGGATTATAAAAAACAGCCCCAGATTGAATTTGAGAAAACACACAGTGCTAACTGCATGACTGATTGTAGAATTTAAGAGATAGAAGCAAACATCATTGTTGCACCACATGATGATAGGAGAATGCAAATTATAAAATTTCAACTCTAGAAGACAAGTAGAAAATGACAATACCTAACTAATTGCCTTTTCAATTTCAATCCATGATATTTTTACTATTTTTACCATGTAATCAGGGTTGCATATAGTGGCCTAGTATTATACTCCAACAGTCTGGGCTCTGAAAACATACAATATACATTTCTACTATCCCACTATCCGAAAGGGCAGCCTATGCTCTCCCGGAGTGCAGTGGTATAAGCTGTCCGAGTGGGTAGCGTGATGGCTAATTAATTATGAATGCTTTCAATATGCTTTATGCACATCGTGATGTCTGTGCCTTCGCGAGTAATGACTCTGGAAAGCCAGCGTAATGATGTATAGAGAAAGTTCAATTTAAAATGTCCACCATGTAGATTGGGAACCCAGGGGCATTGCAGCAGATGAGATATTCTAATAATCCCTTCTGGGGTGCTTTTGCTGGGAGCTTTCCTTCCATCTAATACAAGCACGTATGCAGTGCCTTTAATTATGTTGGAACATGTATACATTATTTTTATTACCTTTTTAGCATATTTAAGAGCATACTGAAGAAAATGAAAATAAGTTTGATAAAAGCAACATTATACAGATTACTTTCAACTAAAGAATAATATAAAAATCATACTTCACATAATTCTCCTATTTTATACTGCTTCATAAGTTCCCTTGCATCTGTGGAATGACCAATATCTTCAAATGCTTCTGTTGCATGTTTTCCTGGAATATGAAGCATTGAAATGTAGAATTGAATGTACTGAAAAAGTAAGTCAACTCCTTCAAAATTAAAATATACATTAAGTTAGATGACATATATACAATTATTTGAATTTCAGAAAAGCTTTCTCCAGTAATACTACAAACAAGCAAAACTACATAAAATATATATATAAATATATATAATGTCTCCAATTAGAAAGGTAATGAGAAAAAGAAAACACCTTTGAAAAACATAGTTCTTTTAAATACATGTAAGAAAACCAAATTTCTAAACTTTTAATAACGTACTTAGTCCTTGATAACAATAAACAGTATTATTGTGATATTTAACATAACCCTTTGATAGTTATGGTAGCAGAAAGATTGAGACATACACACATTATCATACCTGCCAACCTCTAAAGATAAAAATTCAGAAGATTTCTTCCCCAAATTCAGGAGAACACGAAGAATTAATATCATGCTTTGATATTAAAAAAATAACAATTTATACAAATAGAAAAAGAAAAATTGTACTTACATTAGTAAATCTCAATTAAGTAGTAACTAAAAAATTTATTAGGAAACATAAAACAAGAACTTAATGTTACACAAAAAAATTATTGCAATGAATTTAGAGTGCATTTTTTGGCTTTAGCCAAAAATTCTTTGGAAAATTTCCTGTCATAACAATTAGTTTCCTCATAACATTTAGCAATTAAAATGTTTTCTAGAGTTTTTTTGGTGAAATTGAAGAACGAAACATAGTTTTGTTTTTCTTCACAACACTGAAGACCTCTCTCGCCACTCATTACTGTGTGGAATTACAAGAATAGCACATAAAACTCTTGCTAGTCTATCATATTTTGGTGTTCCATCAGCTCTTTTTATTATTTTTAAGGTACCACCAAGAACATCAAGTCTATCTTCTCCAGAACTGGCAAAGTCTTCAAAGTGTGCAGCAGAAAATTGGTTCTATAGTTCATCTAAAGCATCATTATGGCATTCATTTTCTTTAATTGTTAACAAAAATGGAAATTTATCAATAAAAAAACGAATCTTTTCAAAGATGAATTTTCAATTTGTTTCATATTTGCCACATCAGCATTTAAAAGAACTTCATTTTGCAAAGGAAACTTCCTTACAATGTAACCACAGGCTGAGGAAAAGTACTTTCTAACACACTGAAAAAACTCTTTTTTTTCTCATGATCTTTCAAAGAATTTACAAGTTCCCTGGTTTGATTTCCTATTTGATTAGCCAAACTATTATAGGCAACAGGAATCAACACACTGTTTTTCACAACGGACGGTTTTACAAACTTAGTAGTAAGTACTAAGTACAAACTTAGTATTAGGTTTTACAAACTTAGTTTTTTTTCAAAAGATCATTAAGAATTTGGATAAGCAGGGGAGATTTTGGCGAAGCTGATTGTAGAAGGGTATTTACAATTTCAAAAATCTTAATGGTACTTAACACAAAACTACAATGTGCTTTGTTCAAATCCATCAATTCATCAATGACATTGGCATCCGAATTCGAAGCCGAATTTGAAAAAAAAATCATCCACTTTCTTTGATGTTGTCGAAGCCGAAGCATTAACTTCATGCTTTTTAGACTTAACATGCTTCATAATGTCACTTCTTCCACCGTGACTTATTGTGAAGTCACACACGCACACGTTGCAAAATGCATAGTTATTTCCTTTGAAGGATTCTTTAATTGTTGGAAATTCGGCTTTATAGGCAGGCCGAAAGTATTGAGAATACGGTTTTTTTGAACTCATTTCGTAACAAAGACGCATAAGAAAATTCGTAGCACGTGCAAACAAACAAAAAAAAAAGGCAAAAAGAAAGAAAGAGAAAGAAAGAAAAAGAAAAAATCAGAATGTGACAGATCACGCTTGCTGAGTCCGAGCTGAGTAATTCCCTTGCTGCTGAAGCGAACGCGAAAAAATAATCTGGCGCCCACAAAGAAAAGAGTGGGAGAAACAAGTTCAGCGCATTGGATTGGCTGGTTAGGAGAAACCGCAGGTTACCGGATTCGAAGTAGTCGGTAGTTGGCCGTAAAACATGATGCAATTGGCGAAAAATTCTAAAATTTCGACAAAATTCACTAACAACACTTGAAAAAGGAAAAAAATCGTAAAAAATGTATTACGATCGTAAAATCGTAAAGACAAATGCATTTCCGTAAAAATTACGAAAAATTCATAAAAGTTGGCAGGTATGCATTATATAAGAATGACAAATTATAATTCTGCAATTTAAAAAAATAAATAAATAAGGTTAATTTCCTAAAGAATATCCTGCTCACGGTTGTATACAAATTTATCCTCAGTGCTCCTGCCATCTTAGTAATATATACTATGGCAGATTGAATAAATCTTATAAAATGATTAGTTGGGACAATTCCTGAATACTACCAAAAGTAGCTTCTTTAGAAAATACTGTACTATAGAAGTCTGAAGGAAAAAAGAAACAGATGCAATTCTGAAAGAAGAAAGACAAATATTATTTATGCAGATGATTTAGCCCTAAATACTTGCTCGCTATTTATTCAGTACAAAGCAGTGGATGTTTTGAAAATGTAATGAATATCTCAAATATGAGTAAAAAATAAAATAGAAATTCCAAAAATATAAAAGTACAGTTAAAAAGGTAGAAAATGTACTAGTTATTATATTGTGCACTATCATAAAATATCTTTTATTTCGATTGAGGTCAGAAAAACACAGCACTGATGTTTATACAGATGTCTTTTGGAAATTTTTATGTTTTTGAACTTTGTATGCTTATAGAAAATGTTACGTTTCGCAAAATTCAAACTTGTATATATAATTTTAAAGAGAATTTATTACTGAATTCAATACAAAACACAAAATTCAATTATTTGCAATACAAAAAAAAGTTTTATGTACTTTAATATAAATAAAAAACACAATTATGAAGTGGTTTGTAATGTCTAGCTTTCCTGGCCAATCACTGTTCTTGTTCTGAGAACCAATCAAATGTTAGTAACTACCAGTAGAAGCTGACATCATGTTTACACTTGAAACAATTCATTATTTTGCTTTGTTCTGTAGAAGGAGGACCTGTTTCTTATACACTGCAATTGCAAGTAGGAAGTTTTGTAAAAATTTTTAATATTTAGTCAAGAAGCAATGACATCAAATAAAAGAGTAGATTGGACACCTAGAAAGAGATGTAATATTATTGTGTTACGAGAAAGTGGTCTTTCCTATGCTGAAATTGCAAGACAGGTGGGTGGTTCAGTGACTACATCTGGAGTCCGAAAGTTTCGTTTACGATATCAGGAGACAAATTCTAATAAAAAAAACAAAGAAAGGCCGAAAAAGGTGCACCACATCTATTGATGACAGAAGAATAAAACGACTATGTCTCCAAGATAGAAAAATGTCATCAGCGGCCATCAGAAGTGATCTGAATGATGCTGGTGTTTCTGTCAGTTCAAGAACAATCAGGAGAAGATTAACAGATGTTGGACTGAGAGGTAGAATTCCACGAAAAAAGCCTTATCTTAATTTTCAGCAACGAAAAAAAAGACTACAGTGGGCAAAGGAACAAATTAATTAGACACATGATAAGTGGTACAAGTTATATGGAGTGATGAAACTAAGATATCGTTATTCAGTAGTGATGGGCAAAAATATGTAAGACGTAGAATAGGAGAAGAGCTACATCCTGACTGCATTCAAGCAACTGTGAAGAACCCAGTTAGTGTTATGATTTGGTCATGCATGTTAGCAGATGGTATTGGTCGCCTTCATGTCATCGATGGGACACTGAATGCCAGAAAATACATTGACACTATTCTAGAACCAAAACTTCTACCTTCCATCAGAGATCTCTTTCCCAACAATACTTCGTTTATTTTTCAGCAGGATTCTGCTCCTTGCCTCACGGCCAAAATATCGAAAGAGTGGTTTCGTACAAAGAGCATTAAATTGTTGTAATGGCCAGGAAACAGTCCTGACCTCAATCCTATCGAAAATTTGTGGCACCATTTGAAAACTCTTGTCCAAATGAGGCACCCATCAAATAAAAGGGAACTAATTGAGGCTATAATTGTTTCCTGGCATCATGTAATAACGAAAAAAGAGCTTAAAACTCTTGTCAGCTCAATGGAACGTCGATGTGAAGCTGTAATAAAAAATAAAGGGTACCCTACTAAGTACTGATAACTCACTGCAATCATCACTATCTAATGTATATCGATAACTATTATCGTTTAACTTTTTTTGTATTGCAAATAATTGAATTTTGTGTTTTGTATTGAATTCAGTAATAAATTCTCTTTAAAATAATATATACAAGTTTGCATTTTGTGAAATGTGTGTGCATTTTGTTTTCTATAAGCATACAAAGTTCAAAAACATAAAAATTTCCAAAAGTGTCCACAATTTTGGCCACCACTGTATACCATTATTCAAACCAGGAGCCAGAAACTGGCCTAAGCAATATAAGATGAAATATATACACATTCAAAGCATTTTTTTTCTGGATTAGTAGATCCAGTTCACACTGCATGAGGAATCGATAAATATTACTTACATATGTTGGAAAAAGTCTTTGGGTATGTTTTCTAATGACTCAAGAGCAGAAACGGTAAAGTGACAGAAGCAAAAACAAAGTTTTAATAGGAATAAGTGAACACCTATAAAATAAATTTGCTTTTAAGCTCCAAATTTAGTATGCGCATTATTTTCCTTTATAATAAAATTTTAAAAAAATCTATGATTCAGTTTAATTGTTTTAACATTTTGGAGTAAAAAGTAAATTCATGTTTATTCTATTTACAACAAATATGATACTAATCCATAATTATCACGGTAGTGACTAAGAGCTATGCTAATCGCAGAATAATTTCTGCTCACTAAAAAATTATAGTCATTCAAATTATATATATATGATAATTTTGTAGTTGGTGATTTGAAGATAGAAATATTTTAGGATGCATGGGACAGATGACACTAATTATCTTTTAATCATGGCTAAGAC